TTCGTTTAAGTTCGATTTGGCAACGTATGCACGCCGCAATTGTGTTCTTCTTCGTTCGTCATTCCGCACCTCCGCCCTCTCGTTTTCCAGAATGTGATTTTCTCGAACGGTCGATCGTGTATGCGTACCTCGTCAACCGAGAGCGACCAATTAACTCGTTTAGCCTCGGCAAGGTTCGAAGGGTGATCTCAAGGGGGGTGGGGTCTGGGAGCGGGGTGGAATCGTTAAGAATTCGAGTAAAGAGTCAAGCTCGACTTTGCATGGCAACCCTAACAAATGTTTCTAGCGACTGCAGCCGTCGCGGAAGGAGATCGATAATTCCGGCGAACGGAACTCGAAGAGCCGTCGGAGAGAACCGCGGCTCCCCGCGATTTACGTTTTCTGCTCGCCATGTTTTCTCTTTCTTTTGCTTTTTCTCGTCTATTCTTTTTCATTCGTTTTCGCATATCTTTTCTTTTTCTTTTCTTTTCTTTTTCCTTTCCATATTTATTCAAGGGGGTAAGTTTGAGCAAGGGGATGCAGGGTTGTGAGAGGTACGAGAGTTCCATGCATTCAACGCAACAACGAGAGACCAGAGTCTTGAGGGAACGATGGGAGGATACAAGTCTGGGCTACGAAATCGTAATAAACTGTGAAATCGAATCGTTGCTCTGATCACTTACCGTAGTTCGGATCCTGGTTCGCCGCGTGGATCCCCGACGGTCCTGGTATCAGTCCTGCAATTGCCAATTACGTTCGTGATCATCATCTGCCTTCCGCGTTACGTCGATAAATGTATCGCAGACGATGGGGATGGAAATATTGTCGCAAAGATGGAGCACCCATCAAAAGTATCTGATTATTTGTTGAACGGACACTACTTGTGTCTTTTAATAAAGGAAACAAGATAGATAACTGACACTTGAGCTTCCATATAATTAATCGAACAAAAGTAACCAAGTAGTTTCATATCGAATTACAAGTTTCACAGTATAAAATTCAAAACACACGAGGTGACAATTCATACACAGGTTGAAGTTACGAGAATTCAAAGGAAAGAAACCTCGAATAAAGTTGATCGGTACCTGGTAGTCCCAAGAGCGCAGCCGGGAACGAGTTACGATGGTGTTCCATGGAGTCGTTCAAGATGTCGCTCGGCTCTGTCTTCACCGAGTTCAAAATGCTGTCGTTATTCGACATGTCCTCCTCGTTGTCCGACATGGAATTCGAGTCCTCGCCGGTAGACTGTGCCTGATCAACGATAAATCCTCGTTCTCTTAATCAACCCCCACAAAAGGCATCTCGATCCAATGATATTGTGTATCGATCAAGAAACATTCCTCACCTGTACATTATTGGTCGGCGTCGTGTGTATCGTTGGTCCTCCTTCCAAAGCCTGGCCCAAAAGCGATTCCTGAAGGTCCGATTTCTGCTCCACGTGGTTGCCAAGAGGAGGACTCTGGCTTCTAGGTCTCTTCTCTGGTGGCGGACTTATCGCACTCTCGTTCAAGTCTCCCCTGCCGTTGTCTTGCCAAGGGTTACGTGGCGTCGCCTGTCGGTCACATCATCGAAGGCTTTATACATCGTCAAACTAAACTCTGAACATTTCATCTAGTAAACTCCCATCAATAATCTCTTTAACACTAGAACTACCGTACCAGTCAAAATGACTGGTTTCAGTTTCTCTATTTCGCAATTATTGGTATCTTCGAAGCATTGAGTATTCGAAATGATTTTGAAAATAAATAGTTTCACTGGAATACTACAATGAATATTTGAAGAAACCGAAAATAATCTGTTGCTACAATATTTATAGCGATTTCTGTCGTATCAAATGTTCGATAGTTCTAGTGTTAATAAACCTACAAGGTTACAACTCTACTGAACATTGGAAACCTCGAAGCAACGAATCATTGATGAAGATAGAGGCCAGAGTGACCGATCGAGAATTCATCCCTAAACTCTAACTCCCATCGAAACTCGAGAGAAGTGAAACTTACCGGAGCGCTACCGTTGTATCCCCCCGACGACGATGGCGGCGGGATCTTCGCCGTCGCGGCGCCGCTGTTCACGTCAGCTAGCCCCCGTACCTGGAGCATCTGTGCAGTCTTCAGGAACGCGGCCAACTGTTCTTGACCCACGTGCACCTCGCCGTGGTACATGAAGCGCAGCAACGACTCCATGTCCGACGAGGCGACGTCCCTCAAGATCACGATCGGATGCTGGCATGGGTTGGCCTGTCGTCGAAAGAAAAACAGAAACGCGGATCGTTCAGAAAACCGTCCTCCTCTAGCCAGCGGCATGTTTTAATCCTAGAGATCGCCGGGTGCTAGGGCGTTGATTATGATCGATAACTGGCCGGCGCGGGATCTCGTTCATGTAAATCAGTTAATCCTATTTATCAGCGAAACTAGCCCCGGCCAGCAACGGCCAATTGATTTACAACGACGATTTACAACCTGGACGCGTATAACGAGCAACGTTTAATCCACGTCGTCGATATCTTTCGCCGAGGGTTTTTAATGGCTCGCGAACCACTCGCGATTCCTACGGACTTTTTAACCGCGCCGCGCGCACGCTGCCCGACTACAAATTGACCACTCGCGGGACGATCATCCGCGGACGGCCGCCATGGAAATTTATACAGGCCGAGCCGGAATCCCTCTCGCGCCCCGTGCACTTACGCGGCACGACCGTTCTCCGCGGATGCATGTCCGGGCAATATACGGCGCGAGCTGGCTGCCATTATCGGCACCGATATTAATTATAATTAATGACCGGACGGGCTGTGGGGGTTTCCATAACGCCATCACGGTTATTTCGGGGCGAGAGGTATCGCGCGACACGGACCCTCGCTACCGTTGCAAGAACACAACGGAGGACGCGGCGGCTTTCGACTGTGACACGACCGCTCGATTATCGATACACGCCGCTGGAAAATTCGGGGATGTCGATGCGACGAGGGGACTCGGCTGTCGCCGTCGATTTCGAGGGCAAATGTCAAATTATTCAGATTGAAGTGATTCTTTAAGGTGAGCAAATAGTTCTGATGAAAAGCTACTGGATTCAGGGTGAGATGTAGATGAGTTTGATGTTGATGTGATTGGGGGATACGTTCTGTTGCTGCTATTTTGTAGAGCCGATGTGGAATAGTTGGTGAAATTAAACTGCCCGGTTCGGTAGAGAAATATTTCAGTAGACATTTCAGTTCTTCGGTGCAGAATCTCTGAGAATTACTCGAACGTTGAAAACGCAAAACGAAAATGTTCGTGCTCGATCGGTTAAACGGAGCAACGGATAGAAATGTTTATTATTATCGGCGGATATCGACTTACCACGCTGTTATAATCGTTCCCGGTTTTGTAATAACGACTGGCGTATTGACCGGTTGAAACTTGATACCGTCGATCGAGTTGATTTTTTTCGTTCGATCGAATATTTCGCGTCGTGAAAGTGGTAGCAATAAGCGATTCGGTCTGAAAACTTTGTTGCCTCGGCATCTGATATTTCACCCTTTCACCGGGGAGACTTCGAAAATTCACGGTCCAGAGAGCCTCCGAAATGCCGGTGGCTCCGCGATGGAGCGGTTCCGGTGTCATCGAGTCATCGGAGGGTCTCGATCGACCCCAGGTTATAATAATAGAATGATTCAACTACACAGAATGCTATTAGTCACGACGCGGTTTTCGTAAACACGGCTCTGTCGACTATATCTCGAGGAACGTGGACTGGTGATTACCGTAGTTCACTTTTAACGCGTGGATCGTTTAAAACAACGGAATTACGAAGCCAGATTTTTCTGCGAACGAGGAAGACAAATTCTCCGATGCTTTCATCGACTCAAGAAGCAACATTACATAATCATCGATATCTTTTTTCAGTAATCATGGAGTCATAGCTTCGTCGCAGCGTATCGTTACGGAATAATTCGAAATTATACAGCAGCCTTGCCGGCACAGTCGCAATCAAGGAAAACACGCGTGACAGAATTATGATAACCGTCCGATACGAATTCCGACTATAGCGCTTTTCTCAATGGAATTACGATACGCCTCGGCGTAAACATTGCAACTATTTATCGTCCGTAACCGTCTTAGCTAGCAACGGAACGCTTACGAACGACTCGTATGGTTACTTCGACATTCGTCAGTTTCGTTTCCGCGAGTACATTATAATACCGATACGAAAACATTCCAACGCGAGCGAAAAAATCGAAATATTCCAATAGGAATAAAATAATACCGTATAAATATTACTGTGCAAATATTAATAGCAGTAATTTACGAGCGAGGGTCGGCAAATACACGTTTCGCCGTGGTGAATTTTTTAAGGCAGCGCACGTTCGCGTGCGCAGCCAGTAATGTGTTTTTACCTGGGCGCGTATCAACCTTTTATCCGTCGCCGAACGGGTTTCAATTAAACCAGAACCACCGCGGGTACGCGATCAGCGTATCTGGTGTAATTGAAATAATCGCCGCGCCGGGAAAA